TAACTTTATGATTATGTAATGCAACCATAGACACTAGGCGAATTATTTCGCCCTTTGGGTCGTGGGTTAAGAAAACTCCTAGTTATTTCAATTCTTTGCCTGCTTACCTTTGGTAATCTGTGATATTTTAGGACTGCCAAACTCCTCAGGGATATCAAGGAAACCACGAACATTCCTTAACATATAGATAATAGAGTTACTGCAGTTTCCTAGAGATGCAGGCTTAGATGAAGCTGTCTCCCGTAGCCAGCACTAACGAGACTAAGATGCATAACCAAGTTGGACACCAAAAAAATATTTTAGTGGTCTTTTCCACTCTGACGAACCGTCACATCTACTAGGAGGTCCTAACAAGCAATGATTCAGACAAATATCTGAGCACTATTTATCCATCGTAGAATAAATGGAGAATTCGTGTGCTTGCGAGGTGGTTGCACCATTTGATTAATATAAGAAGATATTGAATCTATTTTGACTTCATGATAATTCCCCCTATTCCATCACCTACTGCCCGGTTTCGCTTATCAGTACCTGCTATTCACCTTGCCACAAAGACCGTTTCGTCCGACACTAACATATGTGTGTAAATGTGGCTAGCTGACCCACTCTGTGTACGTTCGTAATCCATTTACGGAGCATCTCCTGACTTGTTCTGTTTTTTTTGTGATCGAACCGTCAATCGGAGTCACGAGACTGGCTTTGGAAGCGACTACCGCAAACCACATTGAGGATCCAGCATTCAGTTTGTTGGTGTGCGGACCTTGACACTGCACTTCACGGGATGGCGACAACTGCAAAACGTTTGACGCGACGAACGTGGGCAACTGATATGTGTTTTGTAAAGTTCCTCACCTTTGAACCCAGTTCTTCCTTCCGATATTCGGGTTTGTTAAACCCACGCGCAACTCAGTTTCGTCTCATAAACCTCAGTAAATGCCCTAACTACTTCAAATACCAATGGACATAATCCGAAGCGAAGTGATAACGCTGACATGTCTTATCCTGTAACAGCCTTCTGAATATTTCTTGTCAATACATTACTAACTCAGGTTGACTGGAGTAGATGCACATCTCATCCCACCTCTAACTCATTCTGGTTCATCACCAATGTGTCATTGTCGTAATTCGAACATTTTTAACTGCCGGCATTGCGTCGATTCGGGTTATTTCTACTTTGCTTGAAAGCTCAACGACGCAGTTCATCAGCTTTCTCGACTACCGGGTTGAAATCACTCACGGTGAAGTTGAATTGTGTTCACTATTTTCTAGTAACAGGTTGTATGCTCTGCTTGGCGAATAAGATACTGTGGTTAAGTATTGCGAAATCTCCGGACACATAGTCAAACATTTGAAGAAAAAATCGAAGTGTGCCGACAAGCATATAAGGACTAAAATATATGCACAGAAGTTACTAGACTGCATGTACTTCCTTTGGACAAACTCAATATAGACCACATCAAACTGTTTTTCGTTCGTCTGTTTATATGCCTTCGTGTTAACCCGTTATTAATACTTGTGCGGGTCGTGCTTGGAAAAGTTACTATCTTGTAGCCAGTCAACATTGTTACAAGGCTACTGAAGAATTAAATCCTTCAACTTGTTATAAAATGAGGTTTTCAGTTCCATTCAAATACCCAACAGGCGCAGGTTCTTTGGTGTTTTCGAAGTCACATTCCTTTTTTTCTTTTCATTTCAACGACAAACATGTGTCTGAAAGGAAATAATACTCGCGAAACTTCAGTCTACAGTATAGGTTCCGCGCATGCGCCAAATAGTTTCTCGTTGAATACCAACCACTTCGGAAATCCATTTTTTTACAGTCACCTTTCTCGTCCACGTCAATGGATTATGTTCACCTGCTTCTTCACGTGCAGAGTTGTCTGTTCGCGCTTACGATAACGTCACTATTGGATTGCGAGATTATGTGGCCTCAAATTAATCTGTCAGAATGCTCTTTGGTTTCCATCATTGTTTTCAATCAAATAGCAGCCACGTATCCTGCCGTGAACAACGTCATTTTCAGTATATTTTGTTCACTCTGGTGGGGTTTTGTTTTCAAACTCTTCGGAAATAGGCCTCGATAGAGCCAAAGCCTCATGATCTCATGTGCTTAGCTTCACGCAAACACTGCTTGATAAATCTAGAGAAAGCAGTTGGACGCAACATCACTCCACGTGCTAGCGAGTTTCGCCTCAGCTCGTCCATCTGAGCACATATCACCGACTGGTATTATTATCAACATTATCTCAAGACGTTTTTATCTATCTCATTGTCCCTGCATCTGAAACGCTGGGGGTGTACTGACTGATCGGAAGTGAGGAGGATGTATAAGGAAGTCTTACATATCCCAAAAGGTTGCCGTCATTCAAAGGCGATCTGCAAAACGCAGTAACTTAGCGTTCAGGCGCAAGTTATGTTGGGCCACATGTGCTCAATAAGCGGCTCAAAACAGTAGCTGTCTGTAGGATTTTCGCTATGTTTTGAATCACGGATCAATTTTTGGAGAGACAGGCTGATGTTTTTGTCACTCGGTGGCGCGCAGAATCATTGGTGTGGCTCCAGTACAACCAGAGTTATAAGGAATATGACTTTGAAATCACCGAGTTAACGACGAGCAAACGGTATATGATGCGATAAAAATTTCCACAAAACTGTTAAAGAAGGCTGCGAAAAATACCAGTAAAACCAGGCTTACAACTTTGCACAGCTCGCAACAGTTTATTCGTCTAGAGCTGCGGTGCTCAAAATTTTTAATGCCCACTCCCTGTGCGGAACAAATAACATTCGATACTCACACAAGCGTGTTGATGAAAAAACAAAAACTATTTACGTAACAACTCATCACCAAATACTGATGCACTACTTGTCTACTACCATGAGGAAAATTCGCACTAGTGATAAGTTGGAGAAGACGTTTTCGAGAAAGCGCTGTTTGCACTAGATGGGAGCAGTATCCCATAAGTGTCATCATGTCAGTTACACGTCGATTATTGAACGTTATCTAACTACGTGGACGATCAGTCACATGGACTTCAAGCTACTTTCGTTTTTTTGCTGCCGATTACTGACTGGTCCTGCTTAGATCTTTAATCGGCAAGGTTTTTGACTAAAAATCAGCGGACCGCCTCAGTCCATAAAGCCAATACAAATTGTTCAGATTAGTGGCCATTGAATAACAGCAGTACTACAGTCCCGCCTCTCTTAGTCCAGCAGTCCCCCTCCTGGTGGCATTTAGACTCCTGCATATTCGTGTTCCTCAAATGCTCGGTAGATGATGGTATCATTAGCAGGAATCGATTGCACAACACAGCATAAGCAAACGTCACCAGATTCGATGAACCGTTCGACAATACACTCTATGCTCTAACATGACCTGGATGCCAAAGTGAAGATCAGGACGAATTCGGACAAAAGTCGGCGAATATGCTGCATAGAGTTGGATGAAAGGAGAATGTGTGGTAACAAATAATAGATGATTGAAAAGTATTGAAGCGAGAGTTTGATGCTTCGAGAATGCTTCCGACCAAACTGTCGTTGAAAATACGGTGTTATGAAATCTAAACGCCGGGTTTTATAATTCGCAAGGTTGAAAAATTATTCTTGTCCTTCACGCTCACCGCGATAGTCTCGTTTTTTTTGGTGCTTCCGGTTCTACCAATGCCCACTGTTTACACACGCTTGAGGCTTGAAACCTCATGTGAGACACCTGAAATTGTTCACTTGATGCAGGTCACCATCGTCAGCTTGATAATTTCAATGTCCGACTTCTAGAAAATGGATCAATCTTCAATGCAAAACTTGCTCACTTTCAGCTTGAAAATCAGGACTTCTACTTGTGGATTGTGGCTTGTAGTTGCATTACAATCACCTACAGACAGATTTGACCGAAATCCAGAATCGGCAATAGAATGAACATACAGTAGGATTCCACCACGTCATAACTCTACAATCCTGAGAATTATGTTTTGGAATAGCCTCGCGATTTTCCTAAACCTTCTGTCTAAAAACCATATTCCGCTTTCGTTCCATTTTTGGTGGCACACACATGGTGGAAACAGGCCGAAGTTATTCCAGAGCATATCTGCAACTCTTCGGATTGTACGTTTCAGACTTTGAATATATCCACTCAGTTTGAAATATACTATTCGGCATGCTTTTACGCTATTCCGAGCAATCGAATGCCGAATATGTTGAATGCCGTGATAATACCTTCAAGCAGTAAATAAATTTATGCGCGTCTTGATCTGCAAAGCTGCCCCGCAGTTGACGTTCAACCACCGCTTCTTTTGAGAATTAGGCTGGTTTTTCGCCAGTCTTTGCCGACAAATATAAGATGTTTTTCATCTGGGAGGTCTCAGCCTGGATTTTGAGATCAACAGCGCAAAAGAACTGTATAAGTTACCTTATGCAAACCGTATACTGTACCAATGAATGTTGGGGCCTTACTGAAATTCCTTGAATCAGAAAACATGACGGCTAAACTGAGACCACCGTGGATTCATTGGTCGGTTTGAAGCAGAAGAGAGGGTGCAGAGGTAGTTCATCCGGCTATGAGGTACCAGAGCTATCATGTTCTGAATGGTTCCCGAACCACAATGCTTTAAATTATTACTGCCAATTGCTGATGAAAGAACCTAATTAAGGTGAGCTAACGGTAGGGATTGGAAACAAGCAAAAACAAACCCAGAAGCTGGTTGGTTTGGTATCAGTGCTTTCAAGATTGTAGATGGGAAGGAATCATTTAAGCGGAGACCGACACTAATGATTCAACAATAGAGGAAGGGCGAACGGAAGAATTCGATAAGAATCGGTGTCGCCAACTAGTGAATGGAGTGCGATGACTGTGTTCTGATGGTCACACGTCCTTTGCAATTACGGAAACAATAGCCTCGAAAGCTTTGCCAGCTAGGTGGGTCAAGGAAAACGTTAATGTCAATGCGGATCAAAATATATTTTACAAGATATATACACAAAATATTAGAACGAAGCGTATTCGCAGTTCAAGTGGAAGGTGGCAGAGCAACAAGAACACAATTTTGCGACGCCATGACGGCCTTTACTTGAGAATCTCCAGTAAGTTTCCGCAGAATTATATTCTTCACTTGCTTTTCGACCAGAACCAAGTCTGGCTTGAACTCTCGTAAAAATTGTGTTAGCGTCTTCTTTTGATTCATGCCAATGTAGACGTAGGAATTTGCCCTGAGCCCGTGTTTCTTTGCAAGCTGCATCGCCTCACGACATATTTCTTTCGCCCGTTTCACATCAGCCCGTGAGATTTCAATCGCGGTCCCGGCCAGAACAGGTATTGCGAACTGAGGTTTGACGATGCTCACAAATAACAGGGAATCGTTTGCATGTCTTATGTGTTCGTCATACCAGTGGAATATTTGTCTCAGATCCTGTTTGGGGTTGACTGGAATACAGACTTTCCTGCTGGCTTCACTTCCCGATTTCTGGATTGTGCCTTCCATTTTCACTGGCCACACGCTACCAAATCTTCGATTTTATACCTGAAAATGCACTGTAAGTCTCTATTTCGATTGGTTGACTGAATTTTTATGCGTCATACAATTTAAGCCCACGTGTCAGCCTCCTCCGCACTCTATGCGTGTGTGATTTGGGTCGAGTTGAGCTAGTGACATTCTGGTTTGATGATCGACTGCAACTGCCTAAGAAACACATGTAGGAACCAAAACGAACAAAATCAGAGCTGTTCGAGGTACTTCTAGTAACCATCGGAATGCAGAACAATTTGGTGTTAGAGAATGTTTGTTGATTGTTAGTCCATTAACTCATAAATTTTTCATTTTTGGAGTGCATTCCACTCAACTCATTTTTCGACTGGTCTGAACCTTAGTTGTTTTTCGTCGACTGGGGAGATGCAGTAGAAAAACAGGCTGGTAGACTGGAGCAACAGAATACCAGACAGCCGGAAATGATGTGAATCAACGTAGTTGGCACAATTCGCTACTACCACGGCCGCATTGAAATCCACCGTCCGTCGATCCCATATGTGCGCAGCCATCCAACGGGATATGCCAGTCTGATTGCTAGCAAATGTCTGTGGTGTGCGGCCCCTTGTAAAACGCGCTTGAAGGCGCCATACTTTTTCACATGTAATGGACAAAGACACTTTGCAATATTGACACTGTCATAGGTTGTCCTTCGGGTTGCTTGGCGAAACGAAACCGTTTTTCTTCAAGTTAGCATTTTTTTCAACTGCGTAAACTAGTAATCATATCTGCACGGAAAATATTTATGGGCAGTTTATTCAGTTACTTTCCAGACGGGTAAAATCCATTTTACTTTGACCAAAACAATCTCTGGAAAATTGAATTTAGTAGGTGTTGCACCCAAAAAATTATCCGCATGATTTATTCTGATTAGGTCATGGAGTATCATACACATTCCGAAAGAAACCTACTGAGTAACATTTCAAAGAACATGCCAAGATTTGCGAGTTCTTGCGATTTATCAAGCAAATCTGGCTAACGCATCAATTTGTGCACGGATTAGGTGCAAGTTCGGAGAATCTCTCAGGATGCCATGAGAACACTACACTAATATCAAATGTGTGGCAAAACGCATGGCTACTCAAGCGACCGAAAGGCGCGCGTAAGCAGTTTGCCAAACCTGTTTCAGCAGGGAAACGGCAAACGTTTATGAGCGTAACGAGGTGTGCGTAACGAATCTGTGAAAGCAGTTGTTTCAGACCAGGCAAGAGCTCCAACTCGGATGAAAAGAGGGCTGTTTAGCAGTAACATTTTTCAAGACTACTGATTTTTGCGGTGTCCGTTTCATGCTCTGTTGGCGCTCTTCAAATGCCTTCACTTTAGAAGCTACTGGTTGTAATTTATAACCACATATTTTTTGGTCTTTGTTTTGATCGGCGGCCTGGACAGTTTGTTTGCTAACGTTTCATCAGCAATAGAAGTGTATTTTGGAGCCGTGCTTTTGAGACTGTTGCCAACAAATTTCAGTTCGACTCCGAAAAGGTCTGCGTCGTAGTGCACGCAGCTACAAATGTACTAGAACATAGGATATCCTGGTTTGATTTATTTTATCCTGGTTTTTGTTGAGAAGAAGATTTGTTTCGAAACCAAATACTGAATGGCTTAAGCAGGTACTTAGGTGGTAGTATCTCCAGACTTCCAAGCCCAGCAAGAGGACTGCATTTTCATTCACTGACCGGGATAATACTAGAATATCCGCTGAATCTTTGGGGACCACAGTGGTGAATCCATACTGCATTCGGAAACAAGCAAGACTCACCAAAACACGATTAACTATCTGACCTCAACCATAGACAGGTAATTTTTGCCCCCGTAGATAATGACTTAATCATTCATCCAAAACATTTGCACATCAGTCACATTACTCAGTCAACAAGGTATCAAGACCATCACATGCACGATTCTGTACCTTTTAGTTCACCGTGCAATCACTCTAATCAGGCAATTAGTCGACATAAATCTGACTCTCTTAGTGATCGGCGAACAAACAACTTGGTTCCGCTCTATCTTACATTCATTGTAAAAGCATAGGCCATCAAGATTTTTACAACACACGAAAAATCTACAGCGCAAAGTATCAAAAAAATCCTGTCAAACGCATATGGTTCTGGTGTGCATTTTCCCGCCCACCTATTTGAACAAGGCACTTCCGAGAATTGAGGGAATTGGCGCTGACGAAGACTCTTTAGCTCACAGTACCGGAAACGCAAAATCTGGTAAAACTTGTTCCGGCACTCACGTAAACTTTGAACGAAGATGCTCAGTTAGCATGGAGGTCGAAATCAGTTACACTGCCGGCTTGATCAACCTGCGCACGATTACTATTTTTATCGGTCCCTGTTAAAATAAATCAGGCATATCTTCACAGCGCACATGATTCGCTGTACTCACGTGTCCTAAAAGGGACCAGTAAATGGACAGTAGCGAAGGAGTGCAACTGAATGCCGGTGGTTACTAAAATAGGACTCGTGAATCGTCTCCTCCACATTGATAATCAAAGATCGACAGGAAGTGAGTAGGAACCGAGTTACTAGTAAAATCATCCGAGCATGCCTTGCACAGGATCACAGTAGAGGTGATTCAACCAATTCTTGGAAAACAGAACATTGTTTACTACTTACAAAATGCGAGTAAAATGATCAGAGCAGATAACATTCTGCTGGTTTCATTGGGATGCAATTTCAACGCATCGGCTAAATTTTACTTGTTTCGGATCAGTAAATCTGTCTGTGCTATTCATCCGTTGAACGTCTAGAGTCCATTCCGTCATTCATATACATTCTGTAGACTCGATGGTCAAGGACTTCTGCAGTGGAAATGATTTCTGGAAAGGTTTTGAGCATGGGCTGCAAAACGCACACTAAAATGCATATCAAATCAATGGTGTCGACATTTCGCAGGGGTCTTGACCACGCAAAAGCGGCAAGTTGCACCTCACTGGTCCACGACTGCTAAGCTTTTTCAGCCGAGACCATGTATGAGAACCACACTTTCCGGACAATTTGATGAGAAACGTGTGCATCTGTGTTTGCGGGATGGGGAGCATACTCACTGCCTGTCTATGACCATAACTAAGCTTGAATTGGTCACATCAGTTACCTGGTTGAGTCAGTGGACCTGTGTCTCTCTATTAGGTGAATATTGTTTCAAACGATGCCTTGTCGTGATAGGTTGGTAGTTTGCCTATTTTGAACCCTTTTTCGAAAGAATATATGTATCTATCGATATGAAATTTGGATTCAAATGTAGAGAACTACTGTGGCGTGCGTGCTGTGTAATAAGTGGAATGGCCGATAACACGCCGGTAAATGTGAGGTGGCTCTAAAAGAGCGCACTCGCTCACCTAAGAGAGTTAGTTGACCACAAGAAACCAGTCCGGTCGTCTGATATTCAAGCACACGGCCGAAAAAATCGGATTCACTCTATGAAACGCACATTATTGCGCAACTATGCACACGACCCCATCTGAGCAAGCCCTAGATGTGACTGTCCTGCTGGTTGCATCGGTGCATGGTGAGACCGGATTTACTACTTCCACCTTCAGAGACTTTCTGACCTTAATTATGGACATATCTGGGAATATTTGAATACCTTCAAAGTAGGTCGCTCACTCAATGATCAAGTATGAAGCTCAGTTTTCTCCTTTAAAACAAAATTCCCTTTTCTATTCTGCTCTGCGTTACGCTTTGCAGCAGGGACAGTGCATTATTTCGTGTAAGCTCTACGGAGTAAACGGTCTCAAAATCTTTTCATTACCCTGGATGCACCTGAGACAATATTATGAATACAAGGTGATGGCAGATAAACAATGGTTCACTTGAAAACTTAAGAATAAGAAAGTCCCGTCCCAATTTTTCCTATACATTAGTAAAAGGTGTGTAGCTTATTCATAAATATTTTGACAGACTACCACGACTGTATGGAAGTACGCTTAATATAATTAATCCGAATAAGTCCATTGGTCCCATATGGGCATAGCTATCCAATGGAGTCTACCAGTTCTAGCAAATGTCTGTAGAGTGTGGCCTCTTGTACAATGCACCTGAGGAAGGTACACTTTTCCACATGTAATGGACAAAGACACTGCAGTCTGGATGCTTTCAGTGAGTATCCTTTAGCTTCTTTGGCGAAACGAAAACATTTTTCTTCAAGCTAGTGCTACCTTGATCAACTGCGTAAACAAGTAATTATATGCTTTCGGTAAGTACCCTTTAGGTTGCTTGGTGAAACAAAAGCATTCTTCAAGCTAGCGCTTTGTTGATCAACTGCGTAAACAAGTAATTATATCTGCACGTGAAATAACTATGTTCATCCTATTCAGCTACATTGTAGACAGCCATGAACCCCGTACGAAGTCATCCTATTTTCAGAAGCAGATATAACCTATTCTTGAAACCCTACCAGAAACACGATGGCGAAATTCCACTAACGTCTTGCATCACAGTCAGACTTTACGAATTTTTCCTGCTATACTGAAAAATTTAATAACAGTTACATCAAACCAGGCAAGGAATTCACTCATCATACCAAGGGAGTCATTCCCACTACTGTCTTGCATCACAGTCAAACCGTTACGAGTTTTTCCTGCTATACTGAAAAATTTAATTACAGTTGCATCAAACCAGGCAAGAAATTCACTCATCATACCAAGGGAGTCATTCACACAACTGGATACACTTTAGTTCACCTCACATTGAGACGAATGGTCGGCAAGCATCCGACACTCTGAATAAGCGGTGAACAAACAACTTGGCTCGGCTGCCTTGTACTTCTGTCATGAAGAATCACACCAAATTTACCACTCCACCAAAAATCGTGAACTCCGAACTGAGCAATGCATGCACGATTACAATTTTTAGCTGTCCCAGACATATTCCACAATGCATAGGATTCACTGTAATCGCGTGTCCAAAATGGGATTCCAGAATGGATAGAGGGAAACTAAACGAACTAGATGCCGGCGGTTACTGAATTAGTAGTAATGACTCTGTGGTAAAAAACCGAAATGAGATGCGTGCACAATGTGTTACCACTGGTTCATCACGCGGGTAGAACCATTCGTTCCTACACAAATTTAGCACAACCCGCCGCTCTTCACTACTTATAAAATCAAGTAAAATGAGCAAAGCAGAGAAATCCCTGTGGGTTGTGTTGGAATGCTATTTCAACGAATCTTTCAAATTTCATTTGTCGAGGATTGGCATAATTGGTCTGTATTAATTTTCCATGGAATGGGTGTGATTCACATGCACAAACTATGCTCGAATAACATGGGTTCCTGCAATAAAACTTGCCTACGGACAAGTTTTTAGCGTTGGATCTAAGATGCCGCCCAGTTTCGGGCGTTTCCATTTGCACGATTGGTATGGTTGAAGAAGAATAATATAATATTTTGTTCAGGAAAGCGAGAGACGTTCCTAATCTGGCTTAAGCCTTCGCTAATGAAGGACCTACGTGGAGGAAACAAGACACTCAGGTCTGTATACGGGAACATAAACTACAATGGAACGTTTGTAGCATGTGAGTCGTGCGAGTGGAGATAAATCCGATACGCGGAATGGGCTTTAGCCCAACCATCCTATTCAAGTAGGTCATAAGAGTGACGTCCATCCATCCTATTTTCATAATTATACACCGGCGGAAGGTGAGAAGTCTGTTGATTCAAGGCACTGATTCAGCTGGAATAAAGATGTTTGCTAATGCATAATACCAAACTAACCATTCAGGCAGTTTCGGCTCCACTATTCGCTTGTTGATATGCTCATTGTAGCGTTAGTCAAGATGCATAATATTGGGTAAAAACTGAAATTTTTGTCAAGAATATTTTGTGGATCGGAAATGTTAAGATAACGTACTCCAGAGTTTGTTTTCTGGGCTTTGGGTGGATGAGGCACACAAATGCAAATGTGATAATTTGGGTCCTAGTGTGGTGCCCAAATGGGTATTTGAGGGCATCGGTGCTTTAATGTTGACCTGTTTTCTATGAAAATTGGGATGTTTTCAACTCCTGCCATGCACGTGCCAGGTAATCACTAGATTCAATGACAAGCACATGACCGCACTTATAACGAGAAGCTAATTAGTCTCGGTTGGCATTACATGTGTGTGGTCAACCTGAACAGAAATTAGGGATCATATTTCCAAACGCTCGCATCCATCAGGTACGTAGTTCGGCACCGCAAGAACACAAAATGAACGCTGACATAACCACCTATGAGGTCCGCTCTCACCAAACGTGATATAGACAACTCTACCATGAAGCCCCTGTGCTTGATGAATACCGTCTGGATTGAAGTTCTGTGGGGTTCCTCGTAATCTATTTTGCACGAATTCCATACATATGTGGTCTGCGCTGGCTGGATTTTGAGCACTCATGTCTCGAATTCGGAAAACTACTTGGCATAGCTTTGCAACAGCATCTCCATGCAACTTGTGAACCGCAAATGATGCGAAAGAATATCAGTATGCTATTCGATAAGACGGACCCCAGTGAGTCTCCAGCTGCAGAGTTCTAGCACCCACATGAATTTTGGAGTGAGAAATCGACCAATTTTCCTTTCACGTCAGGAACTAGTTTTCCAATTTTCCGGGTCTACATCTTCCTAGTGGCTCCAAACATGGCGAGGCCGGTAAGTGGTTGTTGGTCTGTTCGCCGAGCTTGGCAGTTGGATTGCAAACGTTTCATCACCAATCGAGGTGATATCGTCAGTGCAGGGTTGAGTGGGTGAATTCCTCCTCTTCTGCCTGTGAATATATAGCATCTAAACAGTATCTGGTAGTTCTTGAAACGGTCATCGTGTAGTTTGATTTGTCTTCTGAGGCCGGTAAGTGTCTGCCCGTGGATTTCGCGCGGTCGTCCCGTGTTGCCTAATACCACCACACATTTGTGTCTATGATGGCACTGTGCACAAACATACATCAATCACCCCAGAGAGCTGAACGTGAGAAGGAATATCTTGACCGAACTGCGTGTTTTATTAAATCTACCCCGTATGTCACACGTCGAGGGGATTTGCTGCAATATCATATTGTATCATATTGTACGTCACATGTGGCTCCATCTTGAGAACGACATTACTTCAGAAGTGCTGTTATTTCCTCATACGTGGCAGATGGAATAGTGTGGAAATGAAAGAGATTGTCTACCAGGCAAGAAGTCGTGTGATGTCTGGTGTGCCGTTGTTGACGCAATCTTATCTGATTTTCAGTAGCATCCACGAAGTGAACCTAGTACACGAAGACACGTTTGAATGCCCCCAGAGGCGCTGATAACCTTCTCAGATTTCTTCTTGTGCTTCCCCGTTAATGGGTAGTGGAAGCCACCGACCTGCCGATGTATACACTTAATACACCGTGTTCTCCATCCTAGCGGCGCCCGGTGTGCACCCATGGAATATCTTCGCAAGGAGTCTGGACAGCTTCCTACATCTAGCACATTTCGGATGCGACTGATTCCCTCAAGACAAAAAGACGTCCAACATACCATAGATTAAAGCGTGGTCTGTAGATGGGAAAGGTAGGATTTACGTAGGCAAGTCCGAAGGGTATGGTTCAGTCGTTTTATAAGACACGGACTAGGACCGAATTTCACAATTTAGTCATTGACTAGCCTACCGTGGTTCGTGCAAAATTCTTCGAAATGTGAATCAGCCATAGTATTTGAATTTTTCTAATGTAGGTTTAATGTCCCCAAAACAACTGTTCGACATTTTGTGAAAACGAATGTCTCAGTATTTTCTCAAATTCTTCCACAAGTTCGTTTAAGCCTGTGTGAAGCGCTACATGTGACGAGTAGAGCGTCCTACTGGAAGCAACGTCCACACATCCTATCTGGTCTACAGCTCCANAAGCGCTACATGTGACGAGAAGAGCGTCCTACTGGAAGCAACGTACACCTATCATATCTGGTCCAACGCTCCATGTCTTTGTTTTTAAAACTTCCCGAAATTTATCCGGATAAAACCGAATCCAAGCGATTTCACGTGTCAAATTCTTCACACAGACAGTTGATACAGAAGCACAGTGAGGCAGTAAACCTTGAAGTAAGACTTTGAATTGCACGAGATCAAAATGGCTGCCAAAATTTCGGACTATCTCAGCCCCTGGACTAATGGTCATCAACTAAAAAAAGATATAATATCTGAGGTCTGGCACTATAGTCCGTCTTTCTGCTGTGTGCGTGATATGCGGCATAATTTCCTGATGTTCATCACAATTGCCTCCTGAATTAGGGGCATGCAGTAATATAAAATTGCGGACAATAACCAAATATGTTTGTGTATACTTTTGCAAGGCTTACTTGGAACTGACCATTTCGATAGAGGGTTTAGACATATTAGGATGAATATACACTCATTTGCAAACTAATTTGGTTGTTCGAGAGACTCACTTGGAACCCAGCTGAATCTCTCGTATGTGATGTTCTCAGGATGAATGGAAACCGTTTTACCTTTTGCCCCCCGAACGATGTTTCCAACAATCATCGTGGTGCCACGCAACTTATATGCTATAGCACACCCGCAAGACAGAGAGTGAATGAAGCCCGTATGAAATATACTGAATAAAACGGGAATATCTATTTTATCAATCAGGAATTGTGTCCACACATCGTCAAATGTTGCGCAATAGAGCGTTAAACTGATTAATGGCTGGAATCGGGATCAACTGAGTATCCGCACAAACGATTGGATGCAAGGTTAGATGACTCTGATGTAAGATTCGGTGGACCGGCCGTCGATCACGAGACATACGAGAGTGACAAGTCAGGTTCTCTGCATTATCCACGCCGTACTTCTTTATTGTTTTCTTTCCAGAAACAAATGTGTAATCGGAAAAATCAAAACTCATGAAATTTCAACATAAGCTCTAACGCTATACATTCTAGCGGGTATGTGAAATATTTTTTCTTAAGATACAAATCATTTGAAATTTTCGGAAATCTGATTTAATTGTATTTACTTTCGGCTCACGTCAACGGTCACATGCTTCGTCACTTGCCTGATTGTCTGTCACTGAGGCTTAGCGAGATTACATGGCCACAATTCTGCTAGAATGCCCTTTGATCTTCATCATCGCAGAAACGGGTCTAGATAGAAAGACCAAAGCCATGTGATTTCGTGCGGCGTGATTCACGCAGACACTGCATGATAAATAGAGAGAGAGCTGGTGCACGCGAACTCATTCCACAGGTTAGTGAATGGTCGCCTCAGCCCGTCAGTATGAGCACGTCACTGATTGGTATCATTAACAGCGTATAACTCAAAGCGTGTTCATCCATCCTAATCTTACTACATTTAAAACAATAGGGTTAAGCTGGCCATCTTAACAAATGAGGATACTCGATGAGATTCATCAATTCCCAAATGTTTGATCTCGTGCAAGGACAGCCCGGCCGTTTTCGTGTTATTTTATTTTATTTTATTTTATTCTATTGCATTCTTACTTTCCTTCATTGGCGACAGTGAGACAGGAAATATCAGACGACAATCCCAAGACAAATAGCTTTATTACTTGAATTTTCGTAGAAATATTCGGCAGTTACCGAGCTTTCGGTGCCGGCTGGACACAGGTTTTGTCAGGAAATTGTGGGCCGCATGTGTTCAATAAGCAGCCAAGAAACTAGCTATTTGAAAACTAGTCACTGCTTGCTCAATCAAATATCAAATGCGTAAATCTGGGAGAGACAGATAATTTAGTTACACACGTGCTTTCGAGATTCGGCGGCTTTTAGAAGCATTTCTGCGTGAAATATGACCAAATCTAAGCAGTATACTTTTGAAACGATTGAGTAAACGACTTCTCGATTATGTAATAAATGTGTTGAAAAAATATAAAACGAGGTGGATTTCAAAGCCAATGTTGGAGCGGTATTAGAACACAAGACAGTTTTATGCAAATTTCCGACGATTTCTTTCAACAATGAATTTCCCGTTTGTTTTTATTATAACTAAGTCTAGTTTTAACTCCCGAAACCAACATGACCGTCTTCTGTCGATTAGTGCCGATTTGTCTTGTTTCCATGATTATTTACGCACTGTTTGAACTGAGGTGTTCGGCTGATTGAGTCAGTAATAGAAAATTCAACGATAAATTTGCGTCAGCGATGTACTTCTGCAAATTATTAGAAAAATGTCAAGGAAGCCCTGTGTACTTGACCGATGGCACAACTCACATCGTCACCGACTACCCATGAACAGACTGCTCCAGGTTTTGCTCTCTCATCGGTTAGGCTCAATCCCTAACCAGGTTGTTTGCACTTGACGGAATACAAGGATTTATGAAGCAGCTTGATGTATAGAAGCCTAATTAATGATTTGTTCACTGCAAATTTCGCGAATATCTGACCCATAAAATATAGTGCAAAATGTCGTATATCGCAACAAGTAAAATGTGAGAGTTATGGTGACATACATTCAGTTGAAAAGTATCATGTGTAATAGATTCAGATGGTATTCAGTAGAGCCTCACAGTAAACCAGTTTGCTTTGCAGACAAGGGCACTCCACAAATCGCGTTGCCCTTTCGCTTCATTTAGAATAAAATTTGGCGAAACCTAACTCCTAGTTCAACCAGATGAACCCCAAGGCTGTTAACTACAGTTGTGGGCTCTCAAACACTTCCCAGCAAACTTATATGTACGCTGTTCTGTCAAGAAATCATACTGTAGCATCTCTAATATCTTATCAACTGATCACTATCAAGCATATTTGATTGAGGAACCCAAAATACGAAGGTTACTATTGAGACTGCTATCAATAAGAATGGGATATCGCTTGTTTATACTTCTTTTTTGACGATATAGTGTCCTGCTATCGCTAGTTTATACTTCTTTTTTGACGATATAGTGTGAATCGTGTGGAGATCGAGTTTAATTGACATCCTACAGGCGAACCTACAAGGATGGGAACACGGAAGCTTTGACACCGTCATCTCTGTCCCAATTCAAATAATCTAGGTAGATCTCCACAGTAATGATAATTGCAGCAGCTGAATAGCTGCGAAGTTGATGAAATTTGCCGAAGCACTTTTCAGCAGCGTATTATTTTCTGAGTCCTTCCGAGTCATGCACATGGTGAAAAACGATTCTCTACTGTGTGCTGTATTAATCCACAGACGTTAAGTGCTCTCATATATAACTGACAAAAATGTTTTCCCAAACAAGACGAGGTCCAGAAAACATGTGGAAACTGCTTGGTAGAGACAAAAGGAAAGCACCATAAACCGTGGTACGTGAACAGTTCTTAATATGACCCACAAGTCGGTCGGCTTAACTGAATTTTTGACGGAACGTTTGCGATCCTGAATTCAAAAAGAAGAAAATAGAATTACCGAAGATTCCCGTAGTTTACTGGAGTTACACACGTAAGCCATGGGCAACGATAATATCCCCCTGGATTTAAGTAAGAAATACTGAAGGCATTCAAAGTGCCGAACGTGACCTCAGGGCTCCGCCGTGGCGCTCAATGAATAGAGAGTGCAGATGGCTTATTTTAAAATCAAATTGCTTTTGGAGGAACATGATCCACGATTAAGTCAGTAATTACCCTGAACTAAGACGCAAATCCAAGTTGGACGCCCAGAAATATTACAGTGAGGTTCTTCATTCTGAATGTAAAGCCTATTGGATAAGGAGCCAGTATGTGCAAGGCCATAAAAAATTATTGACTCACTATTTGTCTGTCGCGGAATAAGTGGGTGATTTGTGCACCAGACAGAAGGTGGTTCCGGCAATTAATCACGCTGAAAAGTTATGATTCCTTTGGAGGAACAGCTGGCATGATGACCACCCAACCAATAAACTGCTTCCACTCCCTACGGGATGTTACTTGAAGTTGCTTCAACAGTTTGCTGCGCATAAGATGTGCGTTTAATCTCCCCTGTTCACTGATGAATCCACGTTCATAATCACTTGCATTATTTTGAGACAAAAAACCTCATTGTCATCGTAAACATCGTCACTTGAGCAATTTCATTTCATAGCATGTCGTCATTTCAGGTTGCCTACACTTTGCTTGATGGCTTAATGATGCAACCCATCGACGTTCTCGAATAAGTGGTAGGAAACGACCACGCTGGCGTTGAGTCGTACCCTCAATGGCACTCGTGCATCCAGGTTATTGCCTCCCATGCATAGCTTCCTTTCCAATTCATCCACTCAATATACTAATGACAGTGTTGTATTTACGCACCAATTTATCAGCTCCCGCCTCCAATGCGCAGCTACCTACCCCACCTCCCCAAATCTCCGGTGAAGGAAACTGTGGCAGTTACAACCATTGTGACACAAGTACGCGGTTCTTACAGCTGGCAATGATGATGATAATGATGATGATGACGATGATATTGTTTGTACGTCACTCCTACATGATGAGTTTATGTAACGGAGAACTGGGGGACGAATAATTAAACACTTAAAAGAAGTAAAAAGGCCTGCTGTAAAAAGCAGACCGATTCGTACTCGATGACGTACGCTAAAGTGTATGTACATTGTTCGGACAGATACAAGAATAGCACTACGAGGATCGATTTAAAAGAAGTAAAAAGGTCTGCTGTAAAAAGCAGACCGATTCATACTCGATGACGCATGCTAAAGTGTATGTACATTGTTCGGGCAGATACAAGAATAGCACTACGAGGATCGACGAAACACATGTTTTCAAGATAACGAACAATGTTTGTAGTCATCTGTTGTCCTTAAGTCAAGATTATTTTTAATTGCAGTAGCCCTGATTTCCATGATGCTTAATGCGTCCACCGTCACCAGTGGGATCGCAGCACGTACGTAGTCACGGTATTTCCTCGAAGGCTAACATCTAATGTGGGACATTGTTGAATTGCTAGGATCTGTGTAATTCTTGGAGATTGAATGCATTCTTGACACACTCACTGGCGATCCTGGGGCCTAAAATGTTACGCCGATATCAATGAGGTGGTCGTTAACGGAAGCCGGACAGAGACAGACCCTGCAGTATTACAAGCCTGACAATAAAGCTTAAGGAAACTGCAGTTTCCAAAATGCCATCCTCAACGCAGGAGTGAACAGTGCATCAGTAGAGAATCATTAGAGATGATTCTGTTTTTGGACTCCACAAAGTCATTGCATGGATTTTGACAGACATTGGAAAAAATTTAATCCGCAACTAACCCTCTTATCGATGCGAAGTCTCAACGTATATATGACCCGTGTTCCCGGTTATGTTTTCTATTCAATTTCAGTGCTCATTTGTACGGGGGGAATAACATTCACCCTTTTTGAAGTGATGCATGGCATTTCATTTTTTCCGTGTTTGCAAAAAGGTGTAAAGGCGATATAATTTTTCATACAAATCAGAAATTCATGAACGTTCCCATATCCTGTTTTCACAATGCACCTCTCGATCACGTCAATGCATTTTGCTCCCGCGGTTTGTCACTTGCAAGATTATCTGTTTGCATTTACGATTATATCGGTAGTGCTTCACGAGATTGCATGACATCGAATTGACCTGAGAGAATGTGGGTTTTCGGTCATCGTTGTTTTCATTTGGGTGCGTTTATCGAAGACTGTTTTAATTGTAAATTGATATGAGATGCGCGTCCTACCGGGACCAAGGTGTACTCGTTTTACCCAGTCCAATCGTCCAGGGTTTGTTTTCAAATCCCTCCGGAAACGGTCCAGAAAAAATCCGAAGCCACGTGATCTCATGTGCTGCGCTTCACGCAGACACTGCATGATAAATCGAGAGAGAGCTGTTGCACGCAAAATCATTCCAAAGGCCAGTGAATTGTTGGATTAACCCGTAAATCTCAGCACGTACTGGTGACTGGTTTTTTCTGTTAGTAATAAATCAACCCCTGATTGTCTATCCTTCATTTAATGCATTCAAAGTAGCTATCCGTAGACTGCTTTGGATCGAGGAAGATGATGTATAGAATTTTGAGAAGACCGATTATACCCTGGTGTGCGAAACCAACCGGCTAATCTTCCAGCCAGATCGTCCTGTTTTATGAATTACTGTCGAAATACTCGAGTTATTAAGTGCTTTGGGAGGTAAGGAATCTGGATTAGTCAAGGATTTGTAGGCCAGAGATCTAAGGCCTAATTCCCAAGTGTGACAATCTAATATTTCGCGATCGGTTCCGGTGTGATCTGATGGCCTCAAGAAGTGCATCCGTCATCGTAACACAATCCAAACCGTAATCAGTGTGTCACTAAAACGATTACATCGTCCAAAAATATGCCAATACAACAGGTTTTAATCCCTTTTCTCTTATCTGAATGCTATATTCATCTGGAGCTGCGGTCGATAAAATTTTGCCTATGTTCTCCAAGCGGAATATTTGAAATTCATTGCCGCACATATAGCTCAATGAAAAAGAGGAACTATTATGTGTATTTGCGGTGAGTAGTAATGACTGATGAGCAAATAGTCATGTACTACTCCCGTGAAAAAATAATTCAATGAAGGAAGTCGCTTTGGGAAATAAGAGATGTTCCCCTAAGTTTGAGTTAGTGAAAAGACGTGATCACTGCGCAAAACGAAAATCCACATTGATGGCCCTGTGACAAGGGGGTTTTCCAGGTAATTTCGAACAATTTGAAAATGTGGATCGAAATGGACCGACGCAGTCAGTTTGGCGCCGGTCTGACTACTAACATAGATTTGATGACTGGGGAAGTAGTGGCAATTCAAAAGCTGAAAAACGACTTGTAATGGAAACCACAGTCCATTCTGAGCGATCTGAGGCATAGTCACGGGCTTTGGTGCAGAGAGACTACTGCACCGTCGTTGGGAATGTTCTGATATGAAGGGCAATTGCTGGGTTTTATTATACGCAAAAATTAACTTTGACCACGTCCACGACAGAGGATCTTTCATCAGTTTTACAAATCAGCCGAAAAGCCTTCACGAATCCCTTGCCTAAGACTTTTATTCTCAACGATCCTTTTTGATTCATGCCCGACTGTGCAAAACAATTCGGTGGCATTCTCGTATGCGCTGGAAATCATCACACGCAGACTTGACGGTGTCTTGTCCAAGCATTTTGCTCGAGATGATCTGTTTTGTGAGTTTTCGTGATTTCCTGTCACTTGTAAGTCCGACATTTCTCTGCTGTGAAACTCTGCGGTGTCTTTCATCGAAACCTATGTTACAATTTACTCATCCACAATTCAACATCGTTAGCATCTGTCCCAAAGTTGGACTTCTGATTCCCATTTTTAGGCAGCGATAAGTGTCGCAAAATGCACGGTGATCAATACACACTTAGAGAACGCAAAATTTGTTGTTGTTTCTCGTCGTCCTTTCAGGTTTCCGAGTACTATTAATAGGGTATTGTGATGCGCAATTTTTGTCTGGGTTTCACTCGATCCCAAAACGTACTGAACTTTACAGCTGTCTTCAAGATTTCCTTAGATGTTCTGCGGTATAAGATTATATCACTCTGCAGAATCCACCACCCACACAAACAGCCAGCACGTTCTCAAAAATGTAGATAATGCTGAAGCTACGGCGTATGTGGACGGAAGGGGCATGGCTTTCCGTTATTTTGAATAACGATTAGGGCTTGAACGATTACCAAACACTTATAGTGCTACATCAGAACGCCGTGGGCCAATAAATTCACACATTTTAAGATATGAACAATTTTTTTGAGATCTGTTGCTGGCATATCATACAAGAATGTTTTTGATTGACATTGGTTCCTCACGGCAGAATCGGTACCACCTATGTTAAAAATTATGACTCATTTGGTGGGATCACTTTGTAGTATAAAAACTCCTAATTTCAATGAGGCTTGGGTAGTGATCAGACTTATCAGTATTTATCAGCTTACGTACTATTATTTTACCGAGTCTATGTACATGACGCCACTACCCTTAGTCTGAATTGGTCTTTAACTGCTCAAGCCGTACTGTCCGAATAAGTCTGAACTCCATAAGCCAGACGTCTTTTATTAGAGTCACGCCTTTCCTAATCATTCCACCTAAAACAATATTTATCACCTCAAATACAATTTCGGCAACACACCGAGCGAGAGAGGACTTCTGCCTTTCCAAGAGGAAATCTGCAATCCTTCCGAATTCCATACTGTCAATATTGTCAGTTATTCCTCAACCTAAATCTGATAAAGGCGGGTTGGCAAATCTCGTAGTCTTTCAGCAAACGAACCCTGAAGCTTTTGAATTCTGTAAGAACAGCAATGAAATGTGTTCTCGTTTAGATCTGCAAGAATGTCCCGAAAATGGTGTAGTCCCACCTCCTCGTCACTGTTCTTGGCCCAATTTTCGTATCACATGCCAATAGATATAAACCGTTTTACTTTTGTTCGGCCTCTGACCGATGAATGTTCCTTGAATCGGCTGATTAGAACTATCAGTGTGAACCTACGCGATCCCTATACTGCAGCGCAACTGAATGTTTGGGTGTATACCGAATTAACAGTTTTACCAACCGGTCGTCGCTTTTATCATTTTGTTAGCAGTTGCACATACGATGACAACCATCGCAATCGAGAGCACAGCTGCAACCACATCGGCTTCCGCGCCCGAGCTTATCTCTGTTGGCCACCAACACATTAATAACACCATAACTAATGTACCAATGTCATACGATAGTGCACCTGATGGAAGGCTGGAAACTCGATCAAATTATTAATTCGATATGCGAATCACTGCAGAGCTAGATAATCCTAATTTAGATTTCATCTCACCTACTGTCAACCGCCAACCATTTGAACGTGACAAGACAGATTTGTTCTTTGTCTTTTACTGGAATCATAGTCATAGTTAGAAGCCCGTATCCTGAAGTTTCTTGAAGTAGTGTCACTTAGTCCATTCAGGTCTGCGGCTGGAAACTCGACCAAATTATTAATCCGATATGCGAATCACTGCAGAGCTAGATAATCCTAATTTAGATTTCATCTCACCTACTGTCAACCGCCAACCATTTGAACGTGACAAGACAGATTTGTTCTTTGTCTTTTACTGGAATCATAGTCATAGTTAAAAGCCCGTATCCTGAAGTTTCTTGAAGTAGTGTCACTTAGTCCATTCAGGTCTGCTCTCCGAGCTAGAAATATGCGCCCCTTCATCCGAAGCTCCCGTGAGTTTATTGTTCGGTCTCTGTAATGCAGCAGATGAGAATGTACCGGATAAGCTCACCAAGCAACCGTGGTGTTTGTACTGTCTCTTTCAAAAGGATCCTCCGATCAAATAACTCCAATGTGTTGTTCATAAACACTAAGACATCACCTTTCTCTTCTTCCGGAATTTGAAACAAACATGGTCACTGCTTCTAAGACTGAGGAAATCTGCTCATCAATTATATAGCCATTCAACCAACGATCGGTTCTTTTCAACTCCATCAAACTGGCCTGATTGGGTAAGAACGTCCATTTATACCCGAGATTCTGAGGATTTCATTGTCGGTAGTGGGGATTAGATACAAACCAAGTACATCGGAGTTTTGGTTCCTTTGACGTCAACGCACTCAAACCGGTAGATCAGCTCAAACCAGCCAAAACCGTGAAACACACTGACCAATGTAGCTATCCAAATAATGATAAACCACACGCAGCGAATACATAAAAATTCTACTGTGAGACTTCCACGACACCTGCGATAACCGGAAACCTCAAATGGTGAATACAGTGTTATACCTTTGTTCTGATCCTCGTCACTCCCTAAGTAATTACAGAAAATCTAGCCGCAAATGATTTACCAATTACACGAGTCAGCAGAAGCCTGGATATTGCTGTGCATCAAATTTTTTTTTAGAATGTGTATATACAAAGTATGAAAACAAGGTGCTTGCGCAGTTTTTGTTTAAGGGGGCAGTACAATAAGAACACAATTTTGTGACGCCATGACAGCGCGCACTTGACAATCCCCAGTAAGTTTCCGCAGAACTATATTCTTCATTTGCTTTTCGATTAGAACCAGGTCTGGTTTCAACTCTCGCAGGCATTGTGTTAGCGTCTTCTTTTGATTCATACCAATGTAAATGTACGAGTTCGCCTTGAGCTCGTGTTTCTTTGCAAGCCGCATCGCCTCACGACATAATTCTTTCGCTTGTTTCACATTAGTACGTGAGATTTCAATTGCGGTCCCAACCAGAACAGGCATCGTGAACTGAGGTTTGACGATGCTTACAAAAAGCAGGGAATCGTTTTCATTTTTGATGTGTTCGTCATACCAGTTGAATATTTGTCTCAGATCCTGTTTGGGGTTGACTGGAATACAGATTTTCCTGCTGGCTTCGCTTCCCGATTTCTGGATTGTCACTTCCATTCTCACTGATTATACTCTAATTGCAGGATTCCAAAACTTTCTATTTTATACTGCAGCATATGGTGCATATACCTGTTTTGATTGGTTGGCTGACCAAGTCTTCGTTGCACTGTTCTAGCTCTCGTGACTGTCCTTTGTTCTGACTCGGTGTGTGCTTCGTATTTGGGTTGACATTCTCACGTCCTGATTAAGTGAATTTTCACATTTGCGCGAACCGCATTTGACAAACTCATATAGATTAGGTCTGCAAGAATATGTGTGTATATATGTGTAACGTGTACAAAACTTAACTAACCAGGATGTCCGAATTTTCGCACGGATTAAATGCAAGTTGAAGAACAGACTTAATTACAATAAACTTTCAGCAAAACATCATAGCCAGAGATTACGGTAAATGTATCTGACGCAACGGCACACGTGTGTGCAATGTGTGGTGACGCGAATTGCCCAGAATTGTGCCTAAAGAGTTTATAAAACCATTTGAACAGGAGAAAGTTGCTAGCTCATGAGGGATTTCGGCTGCCTATTGTTTCTATGAAGAAAAGACAGCAAGCAGTACTTTGTACAAAGCGAGGTTTTGAGCGATAGAAAGCGGTACACTGATCAAAACGGGGTAGTTAAACATTACCATCTTGCTAAAACAATTCGTAAATCATCATTTAACTCATCCATTTTTGTGGCGCGTTTCAATTTTTTCAGCGTTTTCCGAAATAACTCTACCTGATGCTAGAGATATTTATTTTACTAACAAGCTGCTTACACTGAGTGGTCGCAGTCCCGATCGCTAAATTAAGCAACTTGGTTACAGACGTTTTATCACAACCCGGACTGCTATCATCGATGCATGGTTACGTGCTACAGATTCCAGCTCCGTGCCCATTCCTGATATAAGTTCAGTTAGTGACGTCAATTTTGTAGAACGTTTTATCAGTCACCTTCGAAAATATACCAACGAATATCTATGTATCCTGGGATACAACCTTCCCGCTCGATTACTAGAGTGTACTCTTTTCGTTCAAAATATGTCACTGTCTTTTGAGAGCGTATATATTTTTGAATTACACTTTACAGATTCCAAATTAATTCAGAACATATCTGGGCTTTAGTGCGGATAATCAAATGTGCAATGCAATTGGCAATAGAATTAAGGAAATCTCAATCTGCTAGTCTTGCGTTCTGGTCTCCAGCGAAAGAAGAATTTGATTCGAAACCAAATATTGAACAGTTTATACAGGAGTGTTTGTGGTAGTTTTACAAATCGTGTCACCTTAAAGCAAATGTATAAATGGAGGCGAGAAAAAGATGCTTGCACCTTTATTCTTTAGGAAGGTGATTGAAGGTACAACACCTTGGATCACTGCAATGAAGAATCCAGACTGCTTGCGAAACCAAGTAGAAAGTACGCTCATAGACCTACCAAGGCCCGATGGCCGCAATTCCATGATCGTTTACCTTATAACAGAAGCGGTGTTTTTTTTTACAATATTAAGTTAAATCACCCACACAATTCACTCACCACATCAGAGTCGTCATCTTCACAACTGAATTTAACTCAGTTCACCTTAAATTTATTCTACTCGGTTGATTGATCAGGACGTATCCAAAACTTCAGATATGCGACGAATAAATAACCTGGTGTAGTTGTCTCGCATGCTCGTTATAGGAGAACAAACCATCAGGTTTATTAATCAACCCAAAACCTTCAGCTGGGAGAATCGAAAATACCCAGTCTGATATGTGCAGTTTTCCGCTAAGCTGTTTGGTCAGTGTGAATCCAACACTTAAGGCAATTGATGCCTAATTAACCTGATTTTTTCATACTATAGGAAGACGAGAAGGTGCACCAAACTCTGAAAACCAATTGTCTGGAGCACGAAATCTCATGTAATTATTTTTGGCTGCTTTTGCAGAGAAAATTTGAACGATGCTACTCAGTCGGTATGAAGAACGAAAAAAGCATACTGCCAAACTGATCAACGTATAGGTGGTTACTATTTTTAACTGTGTCCCAAATACAATGAGCCACACATAACTTAACAGTGCACATGAATCGGTGTACTCTCATGTCCTAAAGGAGGCTCATCAACGGATATCAGGATAGGAATTCAACTGAATGACGGTGATCACAAAAATAGTAGTCGTGAATCGTCTGTTCCACAATGTCGGTTGAAACTCAAAATGAAATGCGTGGGCGATGTGTTACTAGTGATTCAGCATGTACCTCAAGCCATTTGTTCATTCGCGCATTTGACACAGCCCACTATGGCGTGTTTTTAGCAGAGACAACGTTGCCTAAAGATGCATCAGTCATGAATGTATATCCGTCCGTCAGGATGAACTGGCGCGTAATACCATGAAGTACCGTTTGGGTAATCATAGCCCGCACTAGCTTCAAAGGTTATGGAAACCGCGTTACACACTAACTTCAACGCATTCACTTTTTCAGTGAAAAATCCTCAAAATCTTCCTGTCGTACGGCTTTATACAGCTAAATCGTCATCATCCATGTTGTTTAGAACGTTATCATACTCACAACAGAGAATCCTCAAGTACTCACAAGTTTGATTCTGTTGCGTTCAAATGCACATGATGTTTTCTCCAACTGGAAACTTAGACAGCTTTGGCAGGTTACATGTTCAAACTCAGTAGCACAGAACAGGCAGAGTAACTTTCACAGAAACAAATAATCGGACAAGCCTAATGCATCCTTAATCTGAACGTGGTCGTTTCTTTGAAGACCGGAGTGTTCACTGACTCAAGAACTGGGCATTTGGTTGAGGTTGTCCCCTTTGTGCTCAAGAGTTCAAACTTATTTTTCATTTGGTTCTGAACTATCAAGACCAAGACGATTTCAACCGAGTTAATACATACAACCAAACAGTGTTATGGGAAGGGTTCCATGAAAATATAGCTGACATAATTTCAGCCATGGAGTGTTTAAAGCTGAGCTGCATACGAAATCTTGTGGCTTTAATAGGATTATCTGCTGACCCTAAACTTGGAGCGAAAAATTATTTGATTGCCTGGGCGCCCTCGAGTAGGAATACCTCGGTGATTTTTCGACTTTGTTTTTCCTATCGCGGCTTTCGGTGGCCACTTTTGATGTCTCAATCACTGAATCCACGCAAGTGAGACTTGCACCGTTAACTCGTTATCAATACTTGGTAGCGTATTTCAGGTAAACTAGAAGGCGTTGAGATTTGTGATCACATGAAAACCGATTGGTACCTTTCGATCGTGCCAGCCACGGGGTGCAACTTATGAGAACGGCATTGTGTAAACGTGAATGACGTCCACAATATCGCTCAAAACCTGGCTTATACTATGGGCTACTTGACACCTGAAAACTGCATGATAAGCAATATTTTGACGCATATTGTCGGAAGTCAAAACGCAGGTGGCGTTTTACTGCGCACTTCAAATGGAAGACAAATGCGCCACCTGGTTCGACCAATGAGACTTTCATCAAACCACGTATGCATTCTTGTCCGGTAAATACGAGACAAGTTAGAATGAATATTGCCGCGTGCTCAAAGTGTTGCTATGAACTCAAATCTGTTCGTGAAAATAAATGTACCTATATTCGCTTAAATTTGTCCTCAATTCAACTGAATGATCCGCGGGTTCCATGCGGAGGCCATAAATGCCGGACATCTTCCTACAGAGGTCATGAAATGGACTTGACGGATGCAAATCACGGACGTTTTGATTGGCTGCAGTTTGCTCCGTATATCTTGTGTTGCTCGCTTTCGCAGAATTTGCGAGTTGCTGAATATTTTGCATGTCATTCCACTTGGGTGGTACGCGGCACACGGTACGGAATTTAGAACCTAGAAAGGAAAATATTGGTAATTGTCTTCAACAACTAAAAACTGACAGTAACTATTAAATTCTGAAAACCACTTGCCTTCAGTTACGTTAGTAGGTCCTCCCGCCTTCTTCTGGACTTCTAACTATGTAAGATCGACATATATCTTTGGATGACACTATTGTTGCTAGAGGCATCGGTTAAGAAGATTCCAGCCTCCAAAATCTTCAGCCTGCCAACTTAACTCGTTCACTAGTACCACGAAACTGCAAGAACTCTCGGATTCAGCATGAAATACACGTGCTTTTTTTATTACCCATTCCAGTGTATTGACTTAGTTTGCTCAGGATTTGTATAAATGACATCCAGGCATTCACAAATAGTACGATGATTTTCTTCGTTCTGAAGGACAGTCGCATCCACTACAAAGCCGTTAGGTTGAATGCTTCAGATAATGATTCAAGCACTGTTTATCTATCGAAAAAGACACGGGTACCATCAAAAAGATGTTTATAGCACTTAATTGCTGAATTAAATACGAACGTGTCTACGTCCAAATTAAACTGGTATAATTGGTTTGTCTTATTCATCAGTTTTCCTCCTGAATGTCCATCGGCAGCACACAAACGGTCTGGATTGCACAAAATTTACGTCTCATCGCGCCACTATCACAGGTGATAACTCTACCTTTCCACTCGTTCGCATCAGTGTGCAGACGATCATTTTACTATTGTCGTAATCTTAACACATTTAGTTGTCCTCATGCCGTAAGTTCAGGCTGCTTTCACTCAGCTCGAATGCTCAAAGATGCAGTCCATCAACGTTCTAGAATAGGAGGTAGAAGCCGGTCACGGTAATGTTGAATTGTGTCCAAAGTCATCGAGTACGAGAATCATCTAATGTACGGACTTGTTTATGCGTCACTTTTACTAGGTTGGACGACGGATTTAAGTGACACAAAAATGTGTGACAAGTGACCAAACAAGTGGACGAACATGTGTGCATTGCTGAAGAGGTAGACAGACGGATTTTGGATTCGAACAGTACCTTATCTGGTCAAACCCTTGACAGAACACACAGGGCTGTTATATGTTGGTTTTTTCGTCCTTAAATCAATCTC